AAAAAAAGTATTTTGCCTCAGGACTTGAATCTTTTTTTTTTTTTTTTCCTTCCCTCCGCTTGACTGACTTTCTCACACTCCTATTCCCATCGTCTGCCAGCTAAGCCTGAGTCATCCTGCCAAGAACTAGACCTGGCCTATTCAGAGCTGTGCTCACTCGCTCTCTTTCTTCTGTCTCTATTTTCTTTCTTTCTTTTACTTTTTTTTTTTTTTTTTTTTTTTGAGTATACACAGTAATGTTTTTCCACCTCCTCCAGTACCTGATCTGCACCTGTACAGGGCCAATCCCACACATATCACCTGATCTTGCCTTTTCAAAGACCGTGAGAAAAATGAAGTTCAAGAAAGAAGAGACATGTTTGCAGATCTCACCGGCGCAAAGCCCTCGTCGCTGCAGAAGCTCAGCTGCCTTGCCACCCGTGTTACATTTTTTTAATAAAAGGAAAATAAACAGAGTATCATGTTTAAAACTACAGAAAAGCACTAGTCCGAGTTTTCTCCCAGCTCCTTGATCCAGTTACAAGTCTTTTGATATAAAAACATAGAGCAGCCTTCACTGTGCAAGATTTAACTCTGAATGAGCAATATTTGGCATAAGCTGCAGTTAACCAGATATTCGGACACACTCGGAGATGAAAAGATCAAGAGATCGCACTGGGGTGGTAGCTGCCAGCAAAACCTTTGCTTGGTCACCTCTAGGGAGAAAGCTAACACAAGCCATTAGCGAGCTGTCATGCAGCATTTTCGAGGCACCTATATTGCTTTTTGGCCAACATTTTCACTAGTGTCAATACCTGCATATTTGRGGGCGGGGGAAGGAAAAAAAAAACATAAAAGGAAGGTTATCACGCGGTTATAGGGCCAGTGCTCTCCCTCATTTACAAAGGGGTCAGGAAATGCGAGGCTGGGCGGCTGGGTCCCTCTTGGGCTGGGAGTGAGAACAGGCTGTAATTATGTCCATGTTTATGGTAGCCAAGAGCTGCTAACCACCTCTAATTGCCGGCAACAGGTCGGTTTCTCTGGGGGACGAGAAGGGGGAAGGCAGTGGGAACGGGCTGTAATTGCCGCTCGCCCTTCCCGCGCAGGCCGGGGAGCCGCGAGCGCTGCCAGCAGCCCCTTCCCGCGTGGCGGGGGGCGCGCGGCCCTTCCCACGCTCCCCTCCCTGCAGCTGCCCGGCCCACGGAAGGGTCGCACCGAGGTGGAAGAACCAGAAGCTTTTTCCTCTGGAGTGCGTGGGGCAGAAGGCTTTGCAGCCAGGACCCCACCCTGAATCTCCTCTTGCAGGCAGCACCCTGGGGTCTTCTGCTCTGAGCGGGGAGCCCAGGCTGGGTGCTGCATTGGGGACCAGTCCTGGCGTCCACGCTCCGGGTCCCTTCATCTGCTCGCCATGAAATGCCTTATACACGCGAGAGCTGTGATCCCTGAATGGAAGCGTGGATACGTGTGAATTCCCCAGGGATCAGGAGAGGAAAGGGAGGATTTACATTGAAGGATGTTTCTGGGAATGAAGTTGGCCAAGCCCAAGTTTAGGTTGGAAGGAGGTGGTGAGAAGGTTTGCAGTCACTAGGGATATCTGGAATAGATGATCTGAGCTTCTCCAACCCTGCCTTTGCCTTTGAAAGGGGTGTTAAGAGTGAGGTAATGCCCTGAGATAAGGAACTACCCCGGGGACCAGAGTGTCCCTTGGCCTGGGGTCCTCTGACCATGGTTTTCTTTGCGCCATCTGAAGTGTTGGGTTACAAATTGGAAATTGTCCAAGATGGAGATTTGGGGAGAATCTTCAGACAGTGCCAAACAAAATCTCTGAGGGTGCTTCAGAACCCCYGCAGAACATCTCTGAGTAAAAATACATTGGCAACAAAATTTAGACTCRTCCTGGGCACTGGCCCAGGAAGGTGGGATGAAATAGGATGCGGTGCAGAGCAAACAGGGAGGCTGCAGAGCTYGCTGTGCCTGCGGGCTGCTCCTTTAGGAAGCAGCCAAGACCAGAACGAAACTTGCTTCTAGAGACCCACATGCCTAAGTATTCAGAGATTGCAGGGACCCAGGAAATATAAAGAACTTGGGAAAGAAATTGGTTATAAGACCTGGATAAATACTGGTGTGTGTGTGTATAGAAATAAATAAACATAAATAAAAAATATGATACAAGCTGAGCCATTAATAGCACACCAAGCCTTTCACCTTCAGGTCATGGACTGAAATTCTAGCCTAGCCGTGCCGGGAAGCTGTCACCGTCTTGAAGTGTGGAAAGCAAGTGCAGTGTCTCAGGGACAAGGGTGTCCCTAGCGCAGACATCTCCCCTGGGCAGCCCCTGCACACGCGGCCAGTGTTCCCCTACACACCAAGTCCTCGTGGTCATAAAGAGCAAAACAACTTGCACGAGACAGTGCTACTGCCTACTGCTCCCGGAGGCAGGAGCAGCTTGTTGGGTGGGACGGCAGCCCCGTCTTGCAGCATGTCCTGCCCGCTGCTTTAGACTGGGGACCCCCTGGCTGGGTCTGGGTCCTGGGGCAGCTGCAGCTGGGCAGGGGACATTAACAGATGAGCCCTGGGGGTCTCATGCAGCTGCAGCTCCCCTGCAAAGCATGTGTCTTGCAGGAGCTGCCCTCCTCCAGCCGCTCCCCGGGTGCCAGCGCAGGGAAGAGGCAGAGGTGCTCATGCATTTTACTCCCAGCGTGTGAGTCACCTTGGGGATCTCAGGCCATGCAACACCCTGTTCTGCTGCAATTTCCCCCTGCTTCGGGGAGAGCATCCATGGGCTGCACAGAGCAGTGCCCTTCCTTTCTGTGCTGCACACGTGGCAGGCAGATGCCCCCAGGAATCACCCTGAAAGCTGTGGGGGGACGTGGCCGAGCAGCAAAGTGCCACTCGGAGAGATTCTGATGCTGCTAAGAGCCATTTTTTTTTTGTGCTGCCGTTGCAGCACAGCCTGTTGCACAGCTCTGCACCTGGGAGGGATGCCTAGGTCTATTCCTCAGCTGATTTCTCCTGTCCTGCTGAGCCAAGGAAAAGCTGCCCTGCGAGCACAGGGTTGCGGGGGAGGGCGTTTGGCAGCTGTGAATTGCTGCCCGTGTGGATGGAAATGATCTTCTACCCCTCATAATCATTCCGTTATTTCGGAGATCGCTGTTTGGGCTGGCGCAGCCACACGTGCTAATGGACAGAAGACGGTACAGCCCCAGCTTTCTTCTCGTGCTGCTTGCAGCCAGGTCCTCAGCGGGCAGGGAGGGCTGGAGCCAGGYAGGAGGGGCAGCTGCAGCCTGGAACAAGCCCTGGGAATGTCCCCAAACTGTGAGTCTGTATCTGCTGCTGTCATCCCCAGCTGAGGGCTACAACTTCCCTTATAACCTTCGCTGAGATGCTCTCTCAAAGGGATGTGACCTGAATTCACTGGACCAAGAATYTGCAGTCTGCTGATGATGACAGGGCTGCCTCGCTCCAGTGCTGCTGTATCCTTGGCAAGATCTACCAGCTGCAGCCAGATGGACATTCGTCTTAGCCCGCATCCCCTCTGAGAACCACAAATAAATGGTTACCCTGTGCTCCCGAAAGAGGAGCTGGAGCGCTGCTCTCCTGCTGT